TGAGAATCTGACACGTGGTGAGAGTGGCACCGACTGGAGGCGTGGGTGGCACCAGCAACTACCTCGCAGCTTCTTGGGCGGTAGGAATCAAACACAGTTTATAAGCTTTTCCTCTCAACTATTCATTCTTCAATCATTTTATATATAACCAAAAGAATTATTTGAGTTCTCAACTGATCAATCACATTCAAGAGATTTTGGAATAGAGAACGATATGAATTTTACTACATACACGAATCTAACATTCGTATGTCAAAGAAACTATTAAATTCTTGATTTTTCCATGACAAGTCCTCATTGTTAGCAAATCAAATTATTCAATTTGTGTATATTCGTTTCTTTTCTTCGCAACTTACATCAACAATAACAGAAATTCCAAAATCAGTCCATGGTCTACCCACCTATTACGAATAAAACATATACTTTGAAATTTTGTTCTATTAAAAATCAGTACCTTATATTTTTAAGAGTTTTTGATAAAAAAACGTGATTTGGCTTCGTCTTTTCTTGAATTTTTAAAAAGAAAATAACTTCAAAATTGGGTCAAACATTTTCTAAGTGTAATATTAACAGTTATAATATGTTTCTCTAATTTTAGTGAAAAAAAGTTTCTTCTAATTGTAATTTAATGATATTAGTAAAATATATCAAATATCTGTCTTACTAAGAGGAGGTTAAACGTGAAACATAGTTACTCAAACAAAAAACAATCTTTCAATTTATCTAACCAATTAACAGTGAGAGTTTCTTTAAGATGAAGGTGACAACTGCAAAAAGTTCCTTAATAGCATTACTCTATTTTCAATGGTTAAAAAACTGTTCGCACATATTAAAAGCTATCAAAGGGAAATAAAAATTTGTATATAAACATTGTACGAGTGGCGTGATACATTTTAAGTATTAAAAAAAAAATATATAATTACGATTCATAAATTATTCAATTGCTATGGTTGAATTAATTTATTTGATAATTCCTAAATTTATTTCCAAACAGAGGGTCTGTTTTAATAGTAAATGATATATAATAAGCAATTTTAAACTAAATTTGGATTTGCTTTTTCTTTTAGACAAAAGTTGAAGCTTTTTACTAGAATCGGGATACAAGTTAACCAATTTGTAAATGGGTTATCTTAAATGCTTCATTTACCTTCTCAAACTTAAATTGAGTGTTGTTAGACCACTGTAATCCATATTAAGAAGCTACTAATGAATACTTTATGATAAAAAACTATACCTTCTTACCAAATGAATAACCAATATTTTTTTATTTTACACTCACAGGGTATGAGAATGATTGGTACTTGGCAACAAAGAACCACTTAAAATAAAAGCAACAAAATTGTTACTGGTTAGCACAATGTAAATTTTATCATGTTAATGTTAAAAAGTAACAACTAGTTGAATCAGTAAATGCTTTTTTTCCTAATAAATAATTAGATATATGAGTTCTTTATAAAGTAATTTAACTTTTTTATACCTAATAAATTATTGGAATTTTTTTTAATCTATAAAGCAATTTAGATACGTTTTACAGATAAAAAAGAAAAATAAATAATTGTTCCAGATGATTTTTTTAAAATTATTCGAGTAAAAAAAATCAATAATTTATTGAAAATAAAACAAAGTAAACTTTAATTTTAAAATAATTATTGTTAATTGTGACAATTGCAATCATTGAAACTTTACCATTTAAACAATGATTTAACTTTAAAACAAAACACTTATTAATAAGTTGAAAAGAATATGTAAACATTATTATATTCTGTAGAAGAAAATAAATTAAAACGAAGGTCAACATAAAGTTGTATATTCTATATTCAAATTTGTATCACCATTGATTAAGAAAAGTAGTATCGTCGTAATATAATTAAAATTAATTAAATCTTTATCGCCATACAAAAGGTGTCTTAGACAAGAGAGAATAGTTTGAGTTAGGTAAGTGTTAATAATTGACAGCACAACACAACAGTGACCAAACACTTTTGTGACAGATTGTATCATCAATACCTTCAATCAATGAACATAAACTATATGATGATATTGTATATTATATGATTTTTAATAAAGTACAGATAATGTATTAAAGTTGGAACAACCTTTGTGAAACAAATTAATGATTAAGCAAAGTATGGTCTAAGATTAGGGTTGGAACCCTGTTGGATCTGAGCAGTATCACTTGGTTGAAGGCTTGAAGGAATGAAATTCCCTCTTTGGTATGAAGCTTGTTTTGTTCACCAATAACAATGGACAAATACAAATACTCCATCTTACGTCTTAACATTACCGTTTCCTTAACGCAAAGGCCTATATCAATTTTATACACAACGACGCAACTTTATTAATTACACATTGCTTCTTACTTCTTAGTTTTTGATACAAAATTAATAAATTTTTCACAAAATCATTATTACATGATGTTGAAACTAGAAAGATTAAATGCTCTGCAGTTAAATTTTCTTAATGTAGACCTATGCTTGTTTAGAGGGACTTAGCCGGAATAAGACCAATAATCCAATATATCAATATCAAAATGTATGTCATTTTTTTTTTAATTTTGCTGTTGGAATCCTATTATAGGTCACATATTTTTGTCATGTTCTTCACTGAATTATTTTTTAGGATAATAATAATAATCAAACATTTACAAATATTTTGTTTCTAACAAANTCCCCATTACCATCATCGGGTCGGATTGTGTAGGTAACATCCAACACCACCTCCTCTCTCCGACCACCATCATTATCGTAATACGTCATCGGAAAATGAAAAAGAAAAACTAATTTATCTGGCACTCAAAAAAGGATTTCTTGTTTTTGGTTTATGAATGATTGATCACAGTCGATGACAGTATTTCACAGCCCAATAGGATCAGCACCCACGACGAGAGAATCGATTAGGGCACGAGGAAGACGATGATGACGAGAGGAGGGTCACGAGAAACTCGTCGATTCAGGAAATGGGGCTTTAATTTAGAGAATTAAAACGTGAAATTGGCAGCAAACAGCCTTTCTCGGTTTTGGTTTTCTTCCCAGGTGATCTAAAAGCTGATGACACACAGTAACAAAATCACTTGCTCGAAACGGCGCCGTTTCACTCTTGAAGGCCACGAGGATTTCGAGTGACGGGTGTTGCAACTTGCAACTCGCAACGGCATGGATTGCTTTCAAAAGTGGAGGCGTGGCGTTTGGTTTGGTTGGTCCTGTCTTCGCCGTTACTGCTACGTGGACCTCATCCATTGGCATTTTATAATTACAATTAATTTACGATTAATTTTACTTTTTTCTATTAGTAAATTAAAATAAAGCTGCTAATAAGTCACGCATAAGTATCTCCGTGCTAGCTCCTCCAAGTTATGTTGTTTGTTACTTTTTTTGCTTTCTTTTTTTTTTTCTGAAAGCGTGGCTTCGTCAGCATAGTGCGATTTTTTGTTTGAGTGAGGAAAGAGAAAGATACAGTGACACTAAGAACCGACATCTGGATATTGTTTGGATGTTAACCAATGAGAATCTGACACGTGGTGAGAGTGGCACCGACTGGAGGCGTGGGTGGCACCAGCAACTACCTCGCAGCTTCTTGGGCGGTAGGAATCAAACACAGTTTATAAGCTTTTCCTCTCAACTATTCATTCTTCAATCATTTTATATATAACCAAAAGAATTATTTGAGTTCTCAACTGATCAATCACATTCAAGAGATTTTGGAATAGAGAACGATATGAATTTTACTACATACACGAATCTAACATTCGTATGTCAAAGAAACTATTAAATTCTTGATTTTTCCATGACAAGTCCTCATTGTTAGCAAATCAAATTATTCAATTTGTGTATATTCGTTTCTTTTCTTCGCAACTTACATCAACAATAACAGAAATTCCAAAATCAGTCCATGGTCAACCCACCTATTACGAATAAAACATATACTTTGAAATTTTGTTCTATTAAAAATAAGTACCTTATATTTTTAAGAGTTTTTGATAAAAAAACGTGATTTGGCTTCGTCTTTTCTTGAATTTTTAAAAAGAAAATAACTTAAAAATTGGGTCAAACATTTTCTAAGTGTAATATTAACAGTTATAATATGTTTCTCTAATTTTAGTGAAAAAAAGTTTCTTCTAATTGTAATTTAATGATATTAGTAAAATATATTAAATATCTGTCTTACTAAGAGGAGGTTAAACGTGAAACATAGTTACTCAAACAAAAAACAATCTTTCAATTTATCTAACCAATTAACAGTGAGAGTTTCTTTAAGATGAAGGTGACAACTGCAAAAAGTTCCTTAATAGCATTACTCTATTTTCAATGGTTAAAAAACTGTTCGCACATATTAAAAGCTATCAAAGGGAAATAAAAATTTGTATATAAACATTGTACGAGTGGCGTGATACATTTTAAGTATTAAAAAAAAAATATATAATTACGATTCATAAATTATTCAATTGCTATGGTTGAATTAATTTATTTGATAATTCCTAAATTTATTTCCAAACAGAGGGTCTGTTTTAATAGTAAATGATATATAATAAGCAATTTTAAACTAAATTTGGATTTGCTTTTTCTTTTAGACAAAAGTTGAAGCTTTTTACTAGAATCGGGATACAAGTTAACCAATTTGTAAATGGGTTATCTTAAATGCTTCATTTACCTTCTCAAACTTAAATTGAGTGTTGTTAGACCACTGTAATCCATATTAAGAAGCTACTAATGAATACTTTATGATAAAAAACTATACCTTCTTACCAAATGAATAACCAATATTTTTTTATTTTACACTCACAGGGTATGAGAATGATTGGTACTTGGCAACAAAGAACCACTTAAAATAAAAGCAACAAAATTGTTACTGGTTAGCACAATGTAAATTTTATCATGTTAATGTTAAAAAGTAACAACTAGTTGAATCAGTAAATGCTTTTTTTCCTAATAAATAATTAGATATATGAGTTCTTTATAAAGTAATTTAACTTTTTTATACCTAATAAATTATTGGAATTTTTTTTAATCTATAAAGCAATTTAGATACGTTTTACAGATAAAAAAGCAAAATAAATAATTGTTCCAGATGATTTTTTTAAANGCATCAGCCAATGTACGAATCAAAATTCCACTGCAGAATAATAGCCAAGTAAACAATGAGTTTCAGAGCATCCAAGATACCTTGAAATGAAGTTTCAATTTTCATAACCAACCAACTTATTTTGAAATGGGTAAATTTGAACCAACAGTGTTTCTACTGACCAAGTAAAGATACATTCTCAAAGCAGAAAACAACATAATGGTGAAAGCCTTTTATCCATAAGAACACAAGTTTATTTAGCGTAAGTAACAGTTAGGAAGGGAGAAGGCCCTAGTACAAGGTCAGAGCAATCTAAAAGCCTCAACCAGAGGCTTACAGTTACATATAACTTGTAGATGAAAAACCATAGGTAAATATCAAACCCTAATTCCTAGACCTTTTCTCAACTTTGTCTAATCCTGTCCTGACAGAGCTTAGGTATTTTGGCCAGTGACCATCAAACAATCTTTGTTGCACTAACATTTGTTTTCCTTACCATACCAAATCAACTTGATGACAAAACAAAAAAAATCCCATTGACATTCAATAACAACTCTGCATGCTGAATTGATGGCATTGAAGTTAAGGTTGCCCGTTTTCGATCAAGAGCGACACAAACTATGATAGTATAGGTGACAAAACAGCAATGAACAGCCAAGTATAATTCATAACTTTAAGTTTTGGTTTGTGGAACAGGTTGGTTTTCGGAGATCCCCTAGCTATGCACGATGCAATCAGGCATTTATGTGGAAATTAGTTCAATAAATACGCAACCATGATAATTTAGCAGACAATAGGCCAGTATATTGATGCATTTAAGAAGCCACATACATAGGTCATGCATGTAAACAGATCAATATCTTACTTCTATATAAGTCATAGAACGGTTTGTGATATAAAACTTGTGTGATTAATTGCATTCCTAATTAAGATCTAACAAGGGAAACGAATTAATTAAATACTACACTTCTCCCATAAAAATAAAAATCTACATCATAGATAAATTAATAATTGTCTAATCACATGGCCAAATTCAAGGAATGTCAAAACGTGAGGACACAATATGAGTTTGCTTTTTTATTAAAAAAATGACTGGTACAAAATCTGATGGCCATAAAAGAATCCCCAAGTTTGGTTGGAAGCATACGTAGAGAAGTTAAACTACAAAATACAACCAGAAATTTAAAAAACACAGGCAAGAGCGATTACCCCTCACAAAAAAGGGAAACTCTAAAGGCATATCTCAGTCTCATCAATATTGAAGATTCATCCGTTCACCAAATCAGTCTTAGAACTATTCCATAATGAATGAATACTCATGAAAGAAACATATCGCAACAAGGGGAAACAGAAAACAAGGTAATGCAAGATGAAAGGTTTGCAGGACTCTTGATCGTGTCAGTTATTGAAAATTCAAACTATACATCAGAGCCAAGCAATTTATACCAGATGGACTATGTGTTTTGCAGAAACAACCATATTGTTCTAAACATAATCAAGCAAGAGCCAGAGTTATTCAAAAGTGAGAAAAAAGTGTTCACCTTACGCTTCAGTACTTTAGGTACACATGGCAAATTTCAAATGCAAACATTAGATATTCAGGAAGTAATCAACCAAAGCACGCATATAACGAAGCAAAACACATACAATTTCTTAGTATAGCTTAAAAATGTGATGAGGGAAACAGAAAGAAACCCTACGTGTAGATTGCAACAAATATTTCCGGCACCATTCCTACCAAGGATCCAACTATATAAGGCCCATACTTAACATTTGTTGCCACAGCACAATAGTTGAAGATTAAGTATGGGAATGGGGAAATTCTGATTAAGGCAACAGCCCGGAACTGATGACACCAGTTCCCTCCACCAGCAGACCTTAGAATAGAAGCCTTCTTTGGATACTTCTCCAACCATCCCTGCATAGATATACAAAACATTGAATCCACATTAGTAAAGGTGAGGAAAAACCTGCAAACAAACCAACTCTTATTCAAGACAAAGCAAGTACCTCAATTTTATGGTGGAAGGTTTTGCCAATGATAAAAGGGAGTGATACACCAATAGCTGCTGCAGATATAATTAGCAAGAACCCAAAGCCATAACCAAAAGTCATTCCAGCCACCCACATGGAAGGTGTAGACGGCAAGAGTAGGGTTGGGAATATTGCCACGGAGGCAAACACCAAAACAGTTAATATTGGAGTACTGAAAGTCTCTGTCTCCCAATTTAATATCGGAATAACCCCCTGCCAAGAACAAATTAAATCATCCATTAGAATCACATAATTTTAATCTATGTTTCATGTTAGAGACAACATAAAAAATGCAAAACACAATTATTCTACACTATGCAGCAAAAAGGGTGGAATTCAGCTATTCCATTATCAAAATCAAAACTTTACAAGGGAACACCAATCCTCAAATCCAATAGCAGCGAGTGGGGGAAAAAAGAACAAACCTTGTCCATGCAATAGGGTCCAATCCAGACCAGAGCAACGACAGCCAAAAACCCCAGGCATAAAAACAACAATACCAATTTAACCCAATACAACACGGTGGCTCTTATCGTCGGCACAGAAGGCTCCACTGCCGCACCCAGTGGAGAAACGTCGTCGGGATCGGCCCTCAATTTCACATAGTCCCCATTACCATCATCGGGTCGGATTGTGTAGGTAACATCCAACACCACCTCCTCTCTCCGACCACCATCATTATCGTAATACGTCATCGGAAAATGAAAAAGAAAAACTAATTTATCTGGCACTCAAAAAAGGATTTCTTGTTTTTGGTTTATGAATGATTGATCACAGTCGATGACAGTATTTCACAGCCCAATAGGATCAGCACCCACGACGAGAGAATCGATTAGGGCACGAGGAAGACGATGATGACGAGAGGAGGGTCACGAGAAACTCGTCGATTCAGGAAATGGGGCTTTAATTTAGAGAATTAAAACGTGAAATTGGCAGCAACAGCCTTTCTCGGTTTTGGTTTTCTTCCCAGGTGATCTAAAAGCTGATGACACACAGTAACAAAATCACTTGCTCGAAACGGCGCCGTTTCACTCTTGAAGGCCACGAGGATTTCGAGTGACGGGTGTTGCAACTTGCAACTCGCAACGGCATGGATTGCTTTCAAAAGTGGAGGCGTGGCGTTTGGTTTGGTTGGTCCTGTCTTCGCCGTTACTGCTACGTGGACCTCATCCATTGGCATTTTATGATTACAATTAATTTACGATTAATTTTACTTTTTTCTATTAGTAAATTAAAATAAAGCTGCTAATAAGTCACGCTTAAGTATCTCCGTGCTAGCTCCTCCAAGTTATGTTGTTTGTTACTTTTTTTGCTTTCTTTTTTTTTTCTGAAAGCGTGGCTTCGTCAGCATAGTGCGATTTTTTGTTTGAGTGAGGAAAGAGAAAGATACAGTGACACTAAGAACCGACATCTGGATATTGTTTGGATGTTAACCAATGAGAATCTGACACGTGGTGAGAGTGGCACCGACTGGAGGCGTGGGTGGCACCAGCAACTACCTCGCAGCTTCTTGGGCGGTAGGAATCAAACACAGTTTATAAGCTTTTCCTCTCAACTATTCATTCTTCAATCATTTTATATATAACCAAAAGAATTATTTGAGTTCTCAACTGATCAATCACATTCAAGAGATTTTGGAATAGAGAACGATATGAATTTTACTACATACACGAATCTAACATTCGTATGTCAAAGAAACTATTAAATTCTTGATTTTTCCATGACAAGTCCTCATTGTTAGCAAATCAAATTATTCAATTTGTGTATATTCGTTTCTTTTCTTCGCAACTTACATCAACAATAACAGAAATTCCAAAATCAGTCCATGGTCTACCCACCTATTACGAATAAAACATATACTTTGAAATTTTGTTCTATTAAAAATCAGTACCTTATATTTTTAAGAGTTTTTGATAAAAAAACGTGATTTGGCTTCGTCTTTTCTTGAATTTTTAAAAAGAAAATAACTTCAAAATTGGGTCAAACATTTTCTAAGTGTAATATTAACAGTTATAATATGTTTCTCTAATTTTAGTGAAAAAAAGTTTCTTCTAATTGTAATTTAATGATATTAGTAAAATATATCAAATATCTGTCTTACTAAGAGGAGGTTAAACGTGAAACATAGTTACTCAAACAAAAAACAATCTTTCAATTTATCTAACCAATTAACAGTGAGAGTTTCTTTAAGATGAAGGTGACAACTGCAAAAAGTTCCTTAATAGCATTACTCTATTTTCAATGGTTAAAAAACTGTTCGCACATATTAAAAGCTATCAAAGGGAAATAAAAATTTGTATATAAACATTGTACGAGTGGCGTGATACATTTTAAGTATTAAAAAAAAAATATATAATTACGATTCATAAATTATTCAATTGCTATGGTTGAATTAATTTATTTGATAATTCCTAAATTTATTTCCAAACAGAGGGTCTGTTTTAATAGTAAATGATATATAATAAGCAATTTTAAACTAAATTTGGATTTGCTTTTTCTTTTAGACAAAAGTTGAAGCTTTTTACTAGAATCGGGATACAAGTTAACCAATTTGTAAATGGGTTATCTTAAATGCTTCATTTACCTTCTCAAACTTAAATTGAGTGTTGTTAGACCACTGTAATCCATATTAAGAAGCTACTAATGAATACTTTATGATAAAAAACTATACCTTCTTACCAAATGAATAACCAATATTTTTTTATTTTACACTCACAGGGTATGAGAATGATTGGTACTTGGCAACAAAGAACCACTTAAAATAAAAGCAACAAAATTGTTACTGGTTAGCACAATGTAAATTTTATCATGTTAATGTTAAAAAGTAACAACTAGTTGAATCAGTAAATGCTTTTTTTCCTAATAAATAATTAGATATATGAGTTCTTTATAAAGTAATTTAACTTTTTTATACCTAATAAATTATTGGAATTTTTTTTAATCTATAAAGCAATTTAGATACGTTTTACAGATAAAAAAGCAAAATAAATAATTGTTCCAGATGATTTTTTTAAATTATTCGAGTAAAAAAAATCAATAATTTATTGAAAATAAAACAAAGTAAACTTTAATTTTAAAATAATTATTGTTAATTGTGACAATTGCAATCATTGAAACTTTACCATTTAAACAATGATTTAACTTTAAAACAAAACACTTATTAATAAGTTGAAAAGAATATGTAAACATTATTATATTCTGTAGAAGAAAATAAATTAAAACGAAGGTCAACATAAAGTTGTATATTCTATATTCAAATTTGTATCACCATTGATTAAGAAAAGTAGTATCGTCGTAATATAATTAAAATTAATTAAATCTTTATCGCCATACAAAAGGTGTCTTAGACAAGAGAGAATAGTTTGAGTTAGGTAAGTGTTAATAATTGACAGCACAACACAACAGTGACCAAACACTTTTGTGACAGATTGTATCATCAATACCTTCAATCAATGAACATAAACTATATGATGATATTGTATATTATATGATTTTTAATAAAGTACAGATAATGTATTAAAGTTGGAACAACCTTTGTGAAACAAATTAATGATTAAGCAAAGTATGGTCTAAGATTAGGGTTGGAACCCTGTTGGATCTGAGCAGTATCACTTGGTTGAAGGCTTGAAGGAATGAAATTCCCTCTTTGGTATGAAGCTTGTTTTGTTCACCAATAACAATGGACAAATACAAATACTCCATCTTACGTCTTAACATTACCGTTTCCTTAACGCAAAGGCCTATATCAATTTTATACACAACGACGCAACTTTATTAATTACTCATTGCTTCTTACTTCTTAGTTTTTGATACAAAATTAATAAATTTTTCACAAAATCATTATTACATGATGTTGAAACTAGAAAGATTAAATGCTCTGCAGTTAAATTTTCTTAATGTAGACCTATGCTTGTTTAGAGGGACTTAGCCGGAATAAGACCAATAATCCAATATATCAATATCAAAATGTATGTCATTTTTTTTAAAATTTGCTGTTGGAATCCTATTATAGGTCACATATTTTTGTCATGTTCTTCACTGAATTATTTTTTAGGATAATAATAATAATCAAACATTTACAAATATTTTGTTTCTAACAATTTAGATTGCAAACGGGTCTTGAGCTTTGTACTTAAAATTAGGAAAATATTAAAATCTTAATAAGAAAAATAAAAATGATATAAGAAATTGATGTAATGCGGCATGCCCACGAAGAAGATAATTTTGGGAAATTTTTGAGATACATAAACCATCATTATACAATGATTGTTTTAAAATATTGTTTACATACATACAGTGTGTTCGAACGGCCACACAAACGTCACGATATCAATATGGTTCGAACGACCCTTTAGAACAGGAATGCGCTAGAGCAACTGAGTGTAACAAAATCAGAAGATAAGACTGACCAGTCGTAGGCGGAACGGCCGGTCTCAGTCAATAATCAGGTTCCCACACAAAGATTAAGGTAATTAGTGATTATAGATATTGAGTTGAGATTGAGTCATGATTAAGATTTTGCAGGTTCCCACACAAAGATTAAGGTAATTAGCGATTAGAGATATTGAGCTGAGATTGAGTCATGATTAAGATTTTGCTAATCTTAAGTCCATGTCGAAAACTAGAAATATAGGTCAAAGGTAAGAGATAAGTGTTCGCATTTACTGCACATTTATTAATGTTACATTGAGTTTCCGTACAAACAACCAACTGACTTAAGCATCAGAGAACCTTTGACAGGTACACCTCCGGACGGTAGAGTGAAGACGAATACGAGGAACACATATCGGACGACTTCCTAAAAGAAATTGTGTAGGTGTTGAGAGTTGTTTGACTTTTGGAGTGGGTTGGGTTAAATAGAATATTCATTATTAAGTGAAAATTTATAATTTAACTTCTTTTTATTATTAAGTGATAATTAATGACAGGTATAGTGTAATTTAACTTTTTTTTAAATATAGGAATTTAAACATGTAATTCGACTTTAACCGCGCTTAAATTCAATGTTAAAAAGGAAGTGTTTTTTCTTTATAGTGGTTTAGTACCAAATTTAATTTTCAATTCCTGATTAATTATGATAAAAGATTTAGAAACACAATATTCAATTTTTATGTAAATAATGATTTTTAATTGATTTTTTAATTGATTCAATTTGTAAATAATGATTTTTTTAATTGATTTAGAAGTGTTTTTTTATGTAAATAATGATTATTTTAATTGATTT